CATTATAAGAAAAAATTTAAAAAATATGTAATAAATGCTTATTGAAGTATGTGATTTTGCTTATATAAAAAATAAGTAAAAAAATATTAGTTTCTCTTACAAATAGAAACAAAGTAATACATTGTAAAGCTCACGTGCTTATTTTTATTTACATAATTACATTCTATTTATCTTGTAGTAAGATATTTGGCAAGTAGAGGTAAAAATAAGTTAGGTTAAATTAAGCTTTGATTAAATAGGATTGAACTTGTGTGGTGAGTCAAGAGCCTGAACCTGATCTGAAACTTATATAAGTTTTTTTTTTTAATAACTCAAGCATGGGCCTACTTAAAGCTTAGCCTAACCTGAAAATCTATTTAAAAGTAAGCTTTTTAAATAAACTCACATTTTAATTTTAAATATCTCACACATACTTTAGATCTATTAATATAAATGTATACATGATTTATCAATTATAATATATACCAATTAAAAGAACTTACCTACTACAATACAATGCAACACAATAATAAAATAATAACGTTAAAATCAACTTGTAAGTTCAATTTAATTGAAAACTTAATTAAAAATTTAAAAATAAAGATCAAATTATTATATTATATGTGTATGTAAACAGGCTAGTATGTTGAGTTTACAGGCTAGGCCTTAAAAAATTAAACTTAATTTATTTAGATAAATAAACTTAATTAAAGACTTAATATAAGCTGAGTTGTTTAGTAAATAAATTAGGTTAATTTTAAAGTAGGAGGAAGTAAACTTTTGATTGGAGCTTGACTTATTTCCACGCTCTATTAACAAGTGTTTGGTTATAAGTTGTCCTGTGTAAAAAAAGACAAGATATCCTTGCAATGTTTTTTTTTTTTTTTTTACCAACAAGATATCCTTGCAATTGAAAATGCAATTGCTTATCACACGTGGCGCACGAGTAAAAACAGCCTTTATTTTCCGGCTTTTGATAATTTAAAAAAAGACAGAAAAACAGTGTCATAAGATATGATACCACTATAATATTTCTTCCTTTCTTTCATATAAGATAAAGGTTAAAAGTTTCTTTTAATACAAGAAGCAATTAAAATAGTTAATATTTTTTTAATTTTACCCCTCATATATTGTTTATCATTTAAATTTTTCAAGAATAATTTATTATTATCATTAATTAAAAAAGTTAAAATTGAAAAGTTATATTTCTTTTTTTTTGTGTAATTTAAGGTTATAACTAAATTTTTTTCAATGAACACAAAATTTGTTAACTTTATCTTATATCAAAGATTAAAATAATATATTACTCCCTCCATTAAAAAATATAAAGTATTTTTTAAAAAATTTAATGTTAAAAAATATAAGATATTTTTAATCTTTTGAGATTTAATTATTATGTTTTTTTAAAAATATTTTTCTTAATGAATGACTCTATATTTATTATAAAATATTTAATAAAGATAAATATAAAAATATAAAATTAATTTAAAAATAAATAATTATTTTATTAAGATGAGATTTAATTAAAATTGTATTATATTTTTTAAAAAAGGGAGTAAACCTCTTTATTAATTGTACTAGTACTTTCTGTTGATGATTACTTGCACGCCGCTCACACGGCTCCGGCAAATCATTTTTAAAACTTGCACGCAACGTAACTTCTTCATTACAGCAAATTAAAACATATAAAAGGGCATTAATATTTCCAGAACGCAGGTTGATGTCCATGTCCACAATATCTCTCTCCCTCTTTTTGTGATTTTATATGATAAGCCCCATTTATTAAAATATAATCAGGGATGGAGATAAGGGAATCAATAAGTAGGGACTACAACTCCCTATCTTTTTAATTTTTTTTAATTAAAATATAAAAGTTATATATTTTTTGCTCTTTAAATTGGCACATTATATAAGCTACAAGAATATAAATGAAATTCTTATTTTAATTTTATAATAGTTTTTTATTTATGTATAATCCAACTGTTGTTGTAGCTTAAAGATATAGTTGTTATAGGATTTATTTATTTTCAACAAGATAACACTATAGTTGCTATTAAAGTATTGATATCATTTAATTTTTTTTTATTTTATATTTGATGAAAAAATTATAAGAATTATTACTAGCAAATTTTATAAAGCACGGCAACCAAAATTTTAAAATATATTGAATAAAGAAGATATCAATTAAAAGAATTAAATAGTAAATTTAATGAGAAAGTAATAGAGTTTTTATTGAATAGAATTTTAGAAATCAATGATATATTTAAATTATTCAATGCTTATGAAGTAGATAAAATATTTGCCAATTTAATGATGATTTATATTGAGGAGGAAATTTTTAAAAATTTTACCATAAATATAATAATTAACTATTCTTATGCTATGAAAAATTAATGAGCAAAACTTAAAATAAAAATATACATTTATTTTTGTTATATAGTGTATGTGTAAAATTAAATATAAATATATATATTAAAATATTTATGTTATATTGGTAATATATATACATTTAATTTTCTTTCGATTGTTATATATGTTTGTCATTTTGACCTCTCAAACAAAATTTTCTGGCTCTGCCACTATATAACCCTACTAAGATTACTAGTGTGAGTCCATCTATATCCAAGTGACACTTGGGCAACTAAATAAGGCAATTATGCGTGTGTGTGTGTGTTTTTAAGGATATTCATGGTTCGCTGATTATTTGTATAAGAAAATAATCCCTGGCGTTGCTTTAGTGCCTTTGTCTAAAGATACTGTGGCCAAGCGCCGTTAGATGCTGCTTTAACAGATCCATCATCAAAAGTCCTCGATGTAGCTCAATTTATATGATCACAACCGATCCTTCAATTAGGCCACTTGTAGCGTGTATTTTTTATTTCATTAATTGATCATACACTCGTGTAATTTTAGCTGTCAACGTTAAACTTACGGTTGACTAGTTTGATTTTTTTTTTTTTACAACTTGATCATGATCATCATCATGTTTTTTTTTTTTTTTGCAAAATTTGAAAAGAAGGAAAGATTATAAGTATATTTGTGTGTGTGTGTGTGTGTGTGTGTGTGTGATTTTTACCCCTATCTCTACAAACTACAGATTACCGATTTAGTCATAAAATAGATCAATACAATTAATATAAACTTTATAATAACTCACAGCATGGACACATCATAAATAATATTTGACCAAAAAAAATTTGGTTAAACTTATGATATTCATGGACAACAACATGTCTCAAAGATGATCAGAATGATTAAAGCATAGATCCTTTTCCTTTGATGATGATTGGCTCCCACAAGTTTATACTCTCAACAGCTTCTCCACAGACCACACTCACCAACACGAAAGTATCAGGCATCGCTTTAACTCCCAACTTGGAGGCTATATTTCATAATCCGACATGGAATCACATCACAGCATATAATAATTGGGTTCAGAGACTCATGAATTTAACCCAAAGAAAAAGTCAGAAAGAAGATATCCTAATTTATATTCTTCACAGATTTGTTTTCTAATATCGTGAAAGGATAATCTTTTGTGAGGGCATTAGAAAATGGATATTCAGAGAACCGGATACTTGTTCAACTTCACAGCTTTTCATAGGGCCATTATCAAATAAACAAATAAAATATATTATCAAGTGTTTTGTGTTCATAATTCGAGCGATAAGATTTAGTTACATGCATGTGACCTCAAAGTGGGATTTGGAATTCCGAGATAAAACAATTAGGAAAATTCACGGTCCGCAAAAAGATACATAAACACAAAAGATGGCGAATTAGGAAAAAAACAGAGATAAACAAATGTACTACAGGAACTAAATATATACTTTAGTTTAACATGTATACAGACACTAATGTGTGTGTGTATCTGAGTAAGAATAAAATAATTTGCCTTAACCTCATCTATATCCACTGTCAGAAACGAAACATCTTGATAAATGGTGGAGACTATTTCTTCAAAGAAACGACTCATAGCGACACAAGGCATGCGCTAACAAGAAGAGAACTGGATAGATTAATCTGCATGCATGCAATGTAAATAAGCAAAAAGTAAGAGAAAGAAGGACAAATATTGATGCCACGGTGGCACGGTAGAACCATGAACCCTAATCACCCCTCAATATGAAGGTGACTTGGCGTATCCGTATAACTTATTGCTGATGTGTTTTTGTTTGATAAGGTTATATTAAATTTTTATAAATTCATTCAAACGTTTTTCTATATCAGGACAAGTATTGCACTCAGGTGATCAAATATATTATATATGCATTCTCAGCTTTCAAATACAGATATATTTTGGCAAAAAATAAACTTTGACATGCATATAGTTCTTTAACTTACGTGTTGTTTTCCTTTCCATGTTCCAGCAATGACATGCTACCAATACTTTTGAAATTCGAGGCTCGTTTCTTAAAGGTAAGTATAATATCGTCTTTTTCTATAGCTTTCACATGTAAATTCGCTGTCTCTGTTTGATTTCTGTATTTGTCTCGCTCTAGCTCTTTTTTTTTTTTTTTTTACATGGATCAATTTCACACACATACCCGAATGCTTCCCTATAAAAAAGGATGACCCACACATAGCCACGCACACTCTCCTTGTATCACTTGGAGGTCCGTCTCATGACATCTAACATCATTGCTCTTTACAACCTTTTTCTTATCATTTTTTTGTATGTAAATTAAATTTCTTTGTGTGTATGCTATGGACGGAAAATGTCACCAGTAGCGATATTTGTGTTTCTCCCTGCCGCATCCATCAAAGGCTTCATCTCTGTTCAACCGGTGAAAATTGAAATTCCACTTTTTTAACGAAAGAATAAATAATCTAAAGACCCTTTACATTATTCTATCTTATTTGGGCTCGATCTCATCATTGTTTAACCCAATAGGCCAATATCTGCCGTCTCATCACAATCTATTTGACTTTCTAGCCCAGTTTTCGCTCCAATAACCACGTTAAAAAAGTTGAGAGAGAGAGAGAGAGAGAGGAGGGAAAGTGAAGTGAATAGTCTGACATTCATTAATAGTGATTAGTATAATATATAAAGGGAATCACGCGCGTGCAGATAATAATAACAAAGTCAGTTACATAATTTAACCATGATTAGTTACTATGACCAACTACTTAATAACGCTATCACTCATGACCGATAGACAAGCATGAATGTACTGTTGCACGTTTTTTCCATTATTGACAGCATGGCCATCATGATTCTGCTCATCATTGCCTATGATAACAGTCAGCCTTGGTCCGAGCTAGCCTTACTCGAATTCATCCTTTTAGGATCTTTTGAACCTTTTTGTTTTTTCCTTTGCGTGCACACTCTCCGTACTGTCAGATTGTGTGCATGGTGGTGGCGGACGTGAACAGTTGACTCCCCACCCTCCTCCAAATCAGAATCTGTTGGAACTCCAAAACTCTTAAAGAGTGTGCTAAAATAGATTCAGCTCCAGCTGCGCTTTGCTGATTTCTTTGTCAATCCTGAATCCGAACTTGCAACTTTCATCACGAAAGACGCTTTCTCAGTATCTAAAAAATTCGGACTTCATGCTCACTTCAGAAATGAAGTTAATGAGCCTAAAGCTGATCGACGAGTCCACTGGCATGAGAATCAAGCAAAAGTAGACTGATAAGCACACTATCGATTGATCCAAAGAAGCTTAACGACATTTCCATTCCCGGCCCAGAAGGAAAGAGACGAAAGCAATCCCTTGTTCCATCGCATCAACTTTGTCCTAATTCTTTCTTGGACGCCTGCTCTTCTGCACAGCATTCCATCGCACGTGACGTTCTCAAGAACCCTACGAAAGACTTCTGCATCATATGACTCCATCCCAACTCCCAATCGTTTGTCGTTGGCCTTCCTCAGATCACTATCTATGCATATATTTTAAGCTTGGACATTCTCGAATCTATTATTAGTATTTTAAAAAATTTTTGCAAATTAAAAAATACATATAGTCAAATTTCCATCTAAATAAGTCTTGCACATTCACTCTCGGTTCATGGATTCAACAATAGATCATGCTTGATAAACAAGAAGCACATCAGTAAGTTCTCGACTATACAATCTTATATGCTAGTGTTAGAATCAAACTCGTATTCATTTTATTCAAGTCACCATCACCACAATTGCATGGCGCTTTTTTGTCCCATATATAGTCAAAGAATATCTCCATCTATCTTAAGATTAGAAATAGCTCGAGCGTGAGTCCACAGGGCGTCCATTGGTTTGTCGCCGAGGTGTCCCAATCTCGCAAGCATTTACTCTGGATGCAAATCGCAGAGAGCACAATGACTCTCCAACTGAAGAAGGTTCAGGAGATATGTTCACAAACATCAATGTCTTTGAGTCTCCTCCCAGACAAGGCTGAAATTGGAATCAAATCAATACTTTTTTTTTTTTTTTGTTGAGCACTAAAGTGATGCAACAAAACTTGACAGTTAGAATATTTAAGGACCAAAACAGAGTTTGACTTTTCTAGTAGATGTCAGAAAAGAACGTCAGCTTGAAAAGAATTACCTGGAGTAGATATGTAAGCTTTGAGTTCCTGAATGGTACATGATCTTCCTTCTTTCCCAAGGCAAATATAACATCACTTAATGATGACAAACTTTTATTGATTGCCTGGTCAAGAAGAAAAACAAAATTAATTTATTTGAAGCTAAATAAGCAGCAGCAAATGAAATAGAAAACATAAGTGTTGCACATACTTGAGTCTCTTTCAGTCGGTCCCCGATTGATCCACTCTTTGAGAGACGCTCACTCCCAGCCAGATCAATCAGATTCAGAACACCTTGTACTTGTTGGTCAGTGCTCTGGCAAAAACAAGAAATAGGTTAGAATGATTTGTCCATGAAAGATTGAAAACTAAAAATGCATGAAAACATGTTAAAGTACCTCATTAACACCATAGATTCTAAGAGTGAACACAAAATGACTTCTTGATGACCGTTCATTCATTTGGGTTTTTCCCACGGACCTGATAAATAATAATATTTCATTTCAAAATCAGTCCACTTTCATCATGCCATCAGAATAGGCAAAAAGATTTTTCTGAAAAGAATGAAAGGTAAAAGCGAACATTCTGAAATAGTAAAACCTGCTATTGGCTGCTTGATGTAGGAGAAACGCGACCTCTTTAGCACTGTGAACATCCACTACTGTAAGATCAGAAACGTATGTATTTCCATTGGCATCGTGTTTTATTGTGTATTGCTTTCCAGGAGTACCATTTTCGACACGTGTTACATCCAAGGATGATCTATTAGTAGATAAAAGATCCCGAATGGTTTCATTATATATTTCCAACATTGACACCTGCAAAATGTTATGAAGGGAAAACTTTCTCAGCAATGTAATTTTTTTTTTCATTGAAAACGATGGGAAAACTGAAGAAGAAATTGTTGTCACCTGCAATTCATATTTCCAGCCTTGGGATTGCAGAGACTGCCTTGTTTGAAATATCTGTTCCAGTGAACGAGGTATCAAGCCCTTTTCCCCTGTATTTCCTGGCCTCCCCATCATTGTGTAGGTTTTCCCTGATCCTGTCTGACCATAGGCAAATATACAAACCTGAAAAAGAACATGCCACCAAATGAATATAAGAAAAATATATCACTTCCAAGGATTATAGACATGTCTTCCATAGTTGACTAGAAATTCTGCTGTTGTTTTCAGCTGTGTGTATAATACATTTAGAAATGATAATCAAACAGTAGGGCAAAGTGCCATGGAATTACCTTGTAACCATCAAGAGCACTTTGTACAAGTTGTGAAATTTCCACAAAAACTTCTTTTTGTGATGTGTCTGGTGCAAAAACTTTATCAAATGTGAAAGAATATCTCTGACCTAAGAATAAAACAAGTGCAACATGAGTAGATGACATTAATTAAAGTATCAAGTAAAAGAATAATTCGTGGCAGCATCACAAGAAATATACCAGTTGGGGTCAATTCAATGCTCGTCCTGCAGCCTCCATTGATGTGGGGAAAGATATAATCTTGCACTCTCCATTACAACTCTCATCAGGCAACAAAGGTCGAACTCTACAGAATACACGGATGTTCCCTTTTAACTCCTGTATTGATATGGGGATTATTTAGGAGAGGATACCTACTTGATCATCAAGAAAGTTTTAAGCTCAGGGAAGTTACCAAAATTGTATTATGTAACTTTTTCCTCAGCTCCTCTCCTTCTATGAGTTTATATTCTGCATCTGCCAAACGTCTTTGTAACTCTTCTATAAGATTTTGTCGACCTTCAAATTCTGTTCTTGTCTCAAGTACAGATACATCAGATACCTGATGAGGAACAAGATGTTACCCAAATAAATATTGATTATTTCAATGTTCAAATCCACATTCATTGCCTGAGACCAAGTACAAGAAAGATAGATAATGATTTTAATGTTTGAATTTTCTTTTTCTTCTATATTTAAAAGCTCATACCTGTACTTTACTTTCTGCTGTTGTTAGTTTCTCTTGCAATTCTTTTATCTGGTTATCTTGCGAAGAACATTTTGCCTGTGCAGGAAACTCAGCATGTCATACAAAGTCATACAAGCATAAGTTGATCCGAGAATGAGATAATTGCAAGAAAGAAAAGGGCTGCAAACCAACCTCCAGTTCATTTGTTTTTATAGTCAAGTTGTTCAGTTCAATGGAAGACTTCTCTGTAGATTCTTTAAATTTTGCTAATTCAAACTTAAGGTTTGAACTTGAGATGAACTGAGGTCGCGATCATCTCTCACTTGTTGCAACTCTGCTCTGAGAGATGAAACCTCACTAGTCAAAGCTTCCTTCTGTTTCACGGCCTCTTCTTGAGAGGACTATCAAAAGAACCAATGGAACTGTGTTAGATACCATTTCCAAGTTAACCCCCCCCCCCCAAAAGCCAAAAAAAAAAAAAACAAACAAAGAAAGGCCATCCCGATCAATAAATTAGCAGAAGGTTTTTATGCATCAACTAATGTTACTAGTCTTTTTCTTAGACAACTTTACTGCAATAGTCAGCAAGTGGAAGCAAACTCACAATGGACAAAGTAAGTTGAGCCCTTAACATGGTGAGGTTCTCCACAGCAGTGGCCCTCTCTCTCTCTACACGCTTAAGTTCATCTTCTGCTGAAGAAAGCTCTGTATGAAGCTTTCCATTGTACTGTTGCAAGCTTGTTATGTAATCCTGTAACCGCTTATACATATCATTGAGTGATGATATCTGCAGAAAACCAAAGATACATAAAGTTATCAGTAAAATGCCTGTCATGACTAGAATGAACAAATAGAAAACAGAAATAAATTCGTAGAACTGGGATTGTACTGCTAGTTTACCTTCTGATTTGCGCTTTGAAGCTCTCTTTGAGCTCTTCCAAGGTCATCTGACAGAGTAGTCTGTGACCTCTCAATGTCAAGCCTCGCCTCTCTCTCTTTCGCAAGAGATTCCACTGCTACCTTATATTTACAAATCATATAGAATTTATTATCAGCATTTAATTTGAAAAAGAATTTAAGGCCTGAAATTTGACTGACTTGAAGAAACCCCCTTACCGACTTTTCTGTTTCTTCCTTGATTAATTTTTCTTGCAAAGAAGTGCAATTCCGTCTCATTTCTATGATAATTGAATTCAGTTCTTCTTCCTTGATTTTAAGCAGTAGCTCTACAATTATTGAACCGAACACATTAGTAAACAAACTTGATGATGGAATATACTAAAAAACAAAAGGGAAAAAAATGTACATCTTACCAATTTCCATGCACTTTTGCTGGGTTAATTCCAAGGAATTTTTCAACCTCTCTTGCTCTAGCGAGTAGTTCAACTCAAGCTCTTGGAACCATCTGATGCAAACTTTAAGCCTCTTTATATATTCCACCATATTTTCACATCTTTCCTAAAGAATACATAGTTTTTTGTCAGTGTTCCAAGCAGTATTAAATGTAACTTAATTCAGAAAGACCCAAAGCCATGAAGATCTCAAAGCTTTAACTGACCTTATAGTTAAATCTGTCCTTCCTTTTGGCTTTTTCATTCAGCAATGCTTCCACATCCTCCCTTGTGAACTCTATAATACCACAGTCTGACCCGGCATTGCTTGGCGGGGCACTATTCGGGCTAAGATCGTGCCCACCATTAACAACTGTGAAAGCTTGCCTAGTTCTTCCATTAATCGGAGTTCCCACCATTTTTTCACCTGCAGCTTGTTGTAGGTCTCTATCTACGAGGACCTCATCGCCCATTATCTTCTAAACTTAAACAAGAACAAAAGACACAGTGAGAGGGAAGGGGAAAAAAAATCACATTTTCAAGTACAACCACAAAACAAATTGCAGTGGACAATGGAGTCATGTAATGGAAAATGAGAAAAAATGGTACCTGGGAAGAAGGGGTTGAAGGTGAGGAAGAGAGAGGTAATGGAGGGCGGTTCTGGTTCTTGGAGACCATTTTTGATTTTGAATAGCTCGCACACAGTTGCAGAGGCAAACGGAGGAAAGAGAGAGCGTGCCTCTAGAGTGTGGCCTTGGATTGTAGTGAAAGCCAACAAATATATCAAAGCCGTTCGTTGCTTTGGCGAGCAGGAAGATGACTAGTGATAAATGATGATCCAGTGATCCAGACACACATAAAGGAGGAGAGAGAGATGAATTCTTGAAAAGAAAAGATAAAAAGATAACAGGAAAAAAAAAAAAAGAAAAGATAACAGGAAAAGGTTTTTTTTTTTTTTTATCCTCTGTATCTGACTCTCTGGGTCCGCGGACCTCGAAGGATTACAGATTTGTTGTGTTGGGTACTGTTTATCAGTTGAGACTTGGTTTAGATTTTACTGCCGTTGATTTTTGAACTTTGAAAATTCAAACTAGGTCCGCTATGGATATGGCGGTCACGTGTCGTTGGACGATGACTTGAAGTTGAAATTAGATTCGTTGTAATGTTGTGCTTCCAATATTGCCATTCAACATTCTCCTCAGTAAAGTTGGTAGCTATTTTGAGTTTTTGTAAATTTTATTATGAAAATTAAAAAATTTCTCTATCCAAATTCCGATCTGGTAAGATTTCTAATTACTTGTAAGAGTAAGACACATTATTCATCATCCATTAACATCTTTTAAACTCCGTGTGCTACTGCGGAATTTGCACGAATCTTTTAATCATTAACATATAGGGCGCTCAAATTAATGCTATTTATAACAATATTTTAGCCTTATTCATTTTATCCGTTTAGTTATGAGCGTTAAAATGCAAAACTACTCCTGTTAACATCTTTCAAACTCGATGTACTATTGCGGAATTGCACAAATCCTTTAAACATTAACATAACATATGGGGTGCTCAAATTAATGCTATTCTTAAAAATATTTTAGCCTTATCCATTCTATCTGTTTAGTCATGAGCATGAAAATACAAAACTACCAATAAATTATGAAAATGAAAAGTAAAGGAATGCCTATTACCTAGGTGGGATGAGTTTGGAAAAATCATTCAACAAACGGGTTTAGTTTCCATGCTCATGGGACCTGAAATGAAATTTGAATCATCTAAATTAAAAATTTAAATAATTTAAATTTAATATATTATTATATATTATATTTATTATAATAAAAATTTAATTATGATTAGTTACTAACTGTGTAGAGTATACCTGAATAATTAATATATATTAATTATAAAAATTTTAATATTAAACTGGATCATTTAAATTAAATTTAAACCAGATTAAAAATTAAAAAATTATTAAAATTATTTCATAATTTTTATAAATTTTTATTTTAATAAATATAATTGATAATAATATAATAATAAATATTAAAAATTTAAACAATTCAGATCTCATTATAAAGATGAGCACGTAGATTAGGGAAACTAATTACTTCAACCAACCAGTACCACAGACAGGGAAAAACAACCAAACGTATAACGACCATAACTAAACTTTATAATTATTGGGTTTTTAAGTTGTTTCATGAGACTCTTAGAAGTAGGCTAATGAGATGCATATGCAACGATGAAGACTTTCAGTGCTTTGGTGGCTTCAAAGGTATCTAAGAATACAAAAATCCATGTTTTATAGTACACAGAACATGGAAGTTTAGTTTGGTTACAACCAAATTGCATTACCTTCAGTGGACTGTAACAACAACCGAAAAAGGGATTTAGTTTGATGAAAACTTTTGCTGTTTTGGTTTCAACCAAAATGCACTATCTTCCAGTGTAAGCTTTTAGTCATTCTTGTACCACACGGGTCTGGGTCTGCAAGGTTTCAAGGGCGAAAGGACCATTTCCATAAGTAATTATCTAAAGTAACAGCAGTGAGATCCCCCAAGTTAAATAATTACTAATAACATGCAACAACAACAACAAACCAAACAAGATACTGGTAAGTGGAAGGGGACGCTTTAACAAATTATTAAATGAACCTGATTTGAAAACGGGATTAAGAAAGAAGGAATAAGCCTTAAACAATGCTCTTTTTGCTGAAACCAGATCCAACAGAAATTCCTAAGAAAGAGTCATTTAGAAGATTTTCTGACGCCAACTAGCAGAAACGAGACAGTGAAAGCGCGCGCGAGCGCACATATAATTTGTACCACCTCACAATCTCACGCTTCAATTTAAAAGTTGTTGGTCTTTCCTACTCGCTTCTTGGTGCTCATCTGCATGCCCCTTCCCGTCCTTTTCCTACCTTTACTTCTTCTTCTTCTTCTTCTTCTTTTAAATTAAAGTGAGGAGATGAAATACATCGTATTACGCCACAAGTTATGTTGGTCAACTTTAAATCTTAACCTATATGGCTATATATGTCGTGGACAATAAAAGTCAAGTGATTGGGTTACAGCATGGAGGAGAGAGATGGATCCTATACATGGGAGTTCAAACACACACAACCGGCTTCCGATCTGTCCACAAAAGGGATATAAATACTTGTTGACCCTACGAAGCTTGTAGGATGCTTCTTGCAGCGTAGACATGAGCCTTCCACTTTGTGCAAATAGAGTTTTGTCATGAGCTGATGCGAATGGGTACGCCAATGCACATCACTTTCCGAGTTAAGTAGAACAAGGGTCATTATTCTTTGCTGTCACAATCTCACTCTTGATGCTCGGATCTTGTTTGCACTTTGCACCCTTTGTAAAGTATTTTTATTAGTGTCGGCATAAACTTCCAAGGGGTCAAATCTCAATCCATTATGTAATCATCCTTTTCAAGTCCTTTCGCACCAAGTCTTGCTCCTTTAACCTGTGAAATTTACAAGGAAAATTCTGTTTTCAAAACCATCCAAAGAAGTGTTAATAAAATTCACCTCTTTTGCGCAAATACCAAAAAAAAAAAAATCCAAATGATGGAAGAAGAAGCCTCCAGGTCTGAAGGAAAGCATCTTTTTTTTTGTTCGGTTTGAATAAAGGATCAAATATTACATTAAAAAGAAAACATAATAAATACATAAAGCTAGTTAACTACAAAGAAAGTAAATGGGATACACAATATAGACACCCCTGTAATTTTCTTGTCGCCTATAGTTCACTCGCGAGAAAGAGGAGAGTACGTGTCGGATGTCTTCGGCCACCATTTTTAACTCCCTGCTGCATCGCTCAAATCGGAAGAATTGCTTCGGCATGAACATGATGTTGAGACTGGACTGAACTATTTGTAGATCCTCCTCTGCTAATCTTAACCAGTAAAGCATGGATCGCAAGCATTCATTTGCAAAAGAAGGTTTGTTTACCGATCTCCTCTTCTAGGTGATTCCATTTAATGGAGTTTTGTTTAGCAGCACGATAATTGGGATTTCACTGAAATCTCTCCTTTCTCTTGCTGCAGAGTAGGGTCCTTTCCTTCATGTCTGGATCTGGATCTAGATTTCGCTTTTGTATGAAATTCAGATCTTGTTCTGGAGTAGAGATTTGCAACGATGAGTTACATTTTTGCTTGTTTTCCCAGGTGCAAATTCCTCTCAGAAATAGAATTTCAGGTCTAACTTCTCTTATCGCCTGAGAAATGCCAGCTTTACTTCATGTGATTAACAATGCAAAGTTAAGTTTGATATAAAATTAAAAGCAAGGGTCCTATAATCACGGGGATGTAGTTCAAATGGTAGAGCGCTCGCTTAGCATGCGAGAGATACGGTGATCGACATCCGACGACCCCAAATTTTCATTGGTTTTCATCTTCCGAGACAATCAACGGTTACGTGGCATGCCATGTCATCATGAGTCCAGCTGTCCAGGCCGTTCCTAAGTCAACGGCCACATCACATGCCACGTCAGCACTAAGTCCCAGTCATCATCTCAGTCACCCGCCATGTACAGTGACTATCAACCCTAGTCCATCATCATGATCCCGTTCATCCACCATGTGGGAGGTCGTCATCTCATGTCAACTCTTAGTCGTCATCCCAGTCACCACTCACCAGCCACGTAAAAACTTTATTGATATTATGGCCATTTTAAAAAATTAAATTATTATTTAAATAATTTAAAAAAAATTTATTGTTATTTTTCATGTTATAATAACTGGTCAAAAAAATATATATATGAAATTTATAAAAAATATATATATGTTTTTCAACTTGTGCCTCGTCTTTTTTGAGTCGTGCACCTATGCCTAGCAAACTTCATCGACAAGAGCAACACGAGAATTTCCTTCTTCTGAAGCTCTTCCTATTCACCTTCTACGAATGTTATTTTTGGTCTGTGCGAGTGCTAAGCGATGGACGTATCCCAGCCGGTTAAGTTTCGCAAATCTGGTCCTTGATGGATCATGCTTGATGTATTTCATCCGTTTGAGAAATGCCCCCAGTGTTCTAATTTGAACCCAATAATCTCCAGTCTGATGCTTATTCCGTCGGGCACTCCTCTTAAAAAACTTAACTTGATGGCATTGCTTGATTTATTAATCTACAGTATTGCAGGCCCATACAGGCGTCCACTTCATTTTCTTAAATCACTTGATATTTAATATGTTCTGATCTCATAGTGCTATTTTGATCTAGTTCTTTCATTCTTCACATAAATACTTCATTAAACTCAGTTAATAATCTTTGATCATGTAGCTTTTGGCTCTTGAACCGTAGATCTTTTACTGTAAAGGATAAACTAACCTATCATTCTAAAATACATCACTATCAAATACTTATTTCGTTAAAAAATATAAGGCATTTTTAACAGAATCTGATCCCCCAATAAAATAATTACTTATTTTTAAACTAACTCTATTTTTTCATATTTACTCATATTTAATAAAGTGTTTCACCTTAAAAAATATAAAGTAATCTATTTAACATGGGTACTTTTGAAAAAAAAAAGATAATGATTACAACTTAAAAGATTCAAAATATTTTACATTTTTTAAACATCTAACCCCTCAAAATATGCCCTATATTTTTTAATGTAGGGAGTATATGTTAGTTGGTTTGTGCACGGAAGCTTACCAAGTTTATGGTGCTTGTTCCATTCATAGTTTGGTTCTGTTCACTATTAGCTTGAAGTTTTCATTTTTTAAAAAAAAAAATATTTTACCTTGAAGTTTCAAATTATCCTTAAACTCTTACTTTGACCGTTGGTCAAAAAAATAACTTAGTTTGATCATCATCTCTAATCAATCACCCATATTGGGCGGGATGTTATTGAGAAAGTTGCATGATAGGCATGAACTTCTTTGCTATCTTTGTTGACTGCGTAATATTTAATATTAATTAGTTGTTATTGGAATAAAGCAAACAAGATGATGCTTTCCTTTGTTTGGTGGAACTGAGTGGCACGTTGATGTCCAACTCAGAGACAGTTGAACCTTGAAAGGTTGAATATAGTTGTCAAAATGTAATTTGCTGGTTTAAATGGAGTGTGCCCTTCCCTCTAAAGCTGAAAAAGATATTATAAGAAGAAAATATAAATGCACTATGGGGCGTGATGTTCTTTATTTAAAAAAAAATTGAGAATTTCAATATGTTTATTTACAGTCAACAAACAATATGTTTTTCCTTTTGACTAATCCACAAACCATTTGTTTACTACATCACAATTAACTAGGAAATGGGTGCCATTTCAATCATCTATATTTGACTTCTAATGACCACCTTCTCGACTTAGGATCCTGCTTTATCCATTGCATTTTTTCTTCAATATGAAAATTTTCGCTTTGATTTCCATTGTAGCGTGTAAGTTTTTATCCCATTGTAGCCTACCTAAACTTAGATTGCCACTAGAATAACCATGTCTCTTCTAGTTGATTTTGAAGCAGGAACTCATGTTTTCCAACTAGTACACTACTTGCTTTGTTGTTTTCCAAATAATTGTATCTATGTCTCTGTTAATTATGGCATAGAAAGAGAACAACTCATTTTCATCACCAATTTGCAGATCTAGCACTGAAAAAGGCATATTTTGAGTCCGTCTCGCACACCATTGAGGAAAATGTAAACTCAGCATATTTTCTGTGTCATCTTTCAACTCAATAGAAATCTATTATAAGGTTAAAGAGAGTATAGATCATGATTATCTCAAAAAATTCAACGAACAGGTAATCTGGATGTCTTGATTGGAACTATCAATTTTTCAGACATGTAACTACATTTACTGGTAGCTGTAATGGCCTGTCTTGTAATTAACTGCTCGTACAAGCCACTAATTGAATGTGTGCATGCAAAACTTCCAATTTTACTGTGTCTAAATAGTTCTTTGCGTCGTTCTTGTGTTGACCACTAGCACCTAGTTGATCAGAAGCACTTAGTAAACAGCTGTGATATTTTCAAAACTAAAGCAAGTGTTTCATACACCTTTGTGGTCTGTTTATTCCCATCATTCACTGATGTTAGGTTGACAGTTACCAGTTTGTTAAATATCAAGCTGTATCCGAGTTGCCATTAGACTATATAATTAACAAGTCAAGTAGCTGTGTCACTCTCTTAAATTTACGCCGGCCCTGCACTTTTTGAAGCTCCATCCTTCCCTTGAGGAGGATCACAGCCCTGTGTCCTCTTTGGTATTCGTATCTCTAAGAATATGTCATTATATACTTGAGCCTCTATATTCCTCCATTCTGCATCCTCTGGCATCTCAAGCCTTCGTACATATCCATATTCCCACCAATGGCCGCACCTCCAATCACTTGCTTTTGTCTGCTGCTTCCACTGCCCACTAATTTCGACAATCTTCCCATTATCAACATGGACTTGAATGTTATTTCTCCCCGTTCCTGTTTTGACAACAAGTCACTGGTGTCATGTTTGTTTGGACTAGTTAAGCATTTTTTACTTGAACTGAATGAAACTTGGCCTCATTCACGACTCTTGGAGATTGAGTCACATGATTGATTACTAGTTTAGGTTGCGTTTGCTTCAATTTCGTAGGACTCTTAAGAATAACGTCTCCTATAGTAATCACCATTCCAATGCAAGCATACCTTTTATCAATTTATTTCAACATAATCATATTTGGTCGACCATAATCATGGGAATGATCTCTTCCATGGTTCTCCCACTAGATCACAATATAGGCCATCTTTTAGAAGCCTTATTTGATCCAAAACATAGAGCATTGGGTAATTTTTATCATTGATTTTCTAACCATATCCCTACTTCATTTATTGCTCCTTTTAAAAAAAAGGATACATTGAAATTTTTATTATCATTATCAATGAGGGTAAAATTGAAAAGATGTAAATTTTTTAAAAAAATTAAGGTTTCAACTAACATTTTTTTTAGAATCATGAATTAGCTATCAAAGCCCTATATTTTGGTCTAAAGGGAATAATCGTCATTCTTTAAACATTGGAAATCTAGATTGATGACCTTATTCATGTCAATCCTTGTTCTCACCTCTTTACCATTCCATTGCTCTCCTCTCACAAAAACCTATATATGGTCAGTATGATTTTAGTCCATTTTATTCTCTATCAATCCATTCCATTTCTTTCAAAAAACCAAATGGCCCTTTACGTCTCAACCTTTACTAACCTGTTTCAATATTTTCCCTGGACCTAGTAAAGAAAAGTGTGGTGCAAGGGTGAAGGCTTCCCTTGCTCTATACAAAATACTACCTGCTAGCTGAGGCATGGGGCCTCCAATTCCCAGGTTCTTTGCAGGTCATGAAAAATGGTGAGGCAGTCTCCTTGTTTCAATTTTTTTTTTTTTTTGAAGATAGACTATGTTTAGAAATAAGAACTTAGTCATGGTGATATATGAAGGGCAACTCATCATACCTGGTAATTCTCCCTTTAATATGTAACCTTGATCAGTGCGATCCCAGTCCACTGTGCTTTGTCCTGAGCTACGTAGGTTAGATAACAAGATATCTGACTCAAACTCCCAGAGAGGGAAGGCATCGGAAGGATCGAAGAACTTGCCAAACAACATGGGACTGAAAAGTGACCCATCACCAAAAATTTTATGTACTGTTGGATTAGCCTGGCTGAAGAACCTCTTGAATACCTCTTCTCCCAACGAAATGCTCCATTTATGTGGAGCTTGATTGTCTGTTTGAATCTCAAGCCTCCTAGAACTAGTCATTACTACGAAGTAACTGAAAAAATTCAGGGATAATGGCGGAGAGAGTTTTGTGGTCTCTCTTCTTATAGTGGGAAACAGGCCATCTGATAAAGCAGAGCATAAATTCCTTTGGCATATTTGTGGCGGTGTAAAGCTAAGGGGAATATTTTTGTTTTCTAGACTTTACTCATCAGTAAAGGAAAACTGTGTCAGGAATATTACACGATGACTAAATTCTATGTGTGGTAGCCCATTGCAAGTAGTTGTGAGTCACAAGATGTGGTAGCCCATTGCAATTTAGAATTAGAAATCAAGCCAACTTCTACTTTTGGGAGTGCGGATATGCATTACAATAAATGGTCCTGGAGACCCTCAAAAGCATCAGTTTTCTACTTTTCTTGTTCTTGTCCCAGCCATGAAATTTTCAGCTTATTTATTGAAATATTGTGATTAGTCAGGCATGAAGAATCAATGGAGACTCGGGCTGCTGTGGTCTGGTTTTTTATGACAAATTAAGGTCATCTTACTTACGGAACAGCAGTTTTTTAACACTTTCATATTTTTCTTTCCGCGGAGAATAAACTGTGGTCATCATAAATTTGCCTGCTGTCGTAGATGTTGAACATAGAGGATCTTGGTTCCCGGTGATTAAGTCCCAGAACCATTGATCGTTAAGCTGACAGCACTCATGATATCAACTTCAGTCCCTTGCCATTTTCCAAGCCCTTGAACTTTCGAAGAGAGTTCATTTGTTGGTAAGTAAAAAAATTTATTCTAAAACATACCCCTTTGAACTTGAAAGTATGTGCGAACAAATTCTTGTCATTTGCGAGAATGTTATTTTACTGACAGAAGCATATGACATGTTAAATGTTATTAGAGTTATTTGTACAAAAAATTTAGAGGTCCATTCATTCATACATCCAACCTTCTACTAATAATTAACAAATTTACTAATACCGGGGGTTTTATTGTAAAAACATGAAGGTGCTTTTAAGTATCTATATAATATAAAGTTTAGAGATATTCTGGGCATCTTCACCATAAATTGATCTGGCTGCCTTTAATCTTATAAACGGCCATCGGGGTGGACGGAAGTCCGTTAGTTAATTTACAGAATCTGGGTGATTTGTCCCTGCACAAAGCAAAGGAGTATGAAAGGAATCTTAAATGGCTTTGGCAGGGAATGGATGTGGGTGAGTGTTATGATGAACTGTGGTGCTGCACATTCTCATTCTCAACCCACATAAAACATATCATATACATGATATATCTTTTAAGGCCAAGGGGACTGAAGCTTTTTGACTAGTTGGTGCTAGCCATGAAGCAATGAGGCACATTGATTAATCATTCAGAATGGCATTTGGGAGGGTGGCTTTTTGGGGAAAGAAGGCACCTGCTTATCTCCTAGTCGAGATTTTTGCTTTGCCCCATGGAATTTTAAAGTCACTTTCAACGGTGGGTGGGGCCTTCCCCTGCAAAGCGGTGCCACTGCCAACAATGGCTGCTTTTTGTTTTATCTTCAGCTTTCAAGATCACCTAATTTGTAATTATCAGCCCAATAATGTTGTTTGATTCCTTCTTGTTTATTGTGGATCCGTATCTCTTCAATGTTGAATCATGCTACACTAATACAACAGGGCAATTGATGAGAAGCTGACAGATTCTGTTTTGTTTTTTTATATGTAAAAAAGGAAGCTCGCGTAACATTTATGCCAATTCACTCTTTTCAATTTCGTTATTTTTTAGTTATTTTTAATTCAGGATGCACTTAGTTTCATAGCAATGCCGCTTGTTTATAAAATCATTAATAATATTGCGTTATTATATCAATGAATCAGAATTATTTGGCGACAGCAAAGTAACTAGCAACCTAATGAAAGACGCAGGGCAAGTGGCTATAGACCTACATGCATATCGCTTTTGTCTTGGGCTGTTGGAATTTTTTCCCCTAATTGTCATGTCGGTTTTTTCATTCAAATACCCCCAAGAGATGATTATTCTGAAAAGACTCGCGGCACAACTATGAAAAAGAAACGTAATTTTCCCAATCAAAATAGAGTCCAGTTTCTGTTCAAGAGCTGATGCTTTGTATTTTGGGTATACTGAGAGCTGATATTTTATCCGTGACATGTTATTGAGGTGGGGTTCAAGAGGCGCTCCTGTTTTTAAAAACAGTTTTTTTATCTTTATAAAAAAAATTAAAAAATTTGTTTGAATAAGCATTTTAAATCTAATTGTTTTCAAAATGGTTCATGAAAAAATAAAAACATTTTAAAACTGTTTTTATTTTATTTTTTTATTTTTAAAAAGTGTTAGCATTTGATTATTAAAAATTAAAGTTACTTTAATCAATAATTACTATATGCTACCATCATTAATTAATTGTTAGTGACCATCATTATTGAATGATTTTTTGATTCCAAACCAGTTTTTAAATTTACATAACCAAATATATATATTTTTTGTTTTGAAAAACAGTTTTTAAAGCTAAATTGCAAAACATTTTTAAAAAACAAAAAGTAAGAACAGGAAACAATGCTACTTTTAGACGATAACATAGGGCATCTTTCAAAAGCATTGCTTAATTTAATATAAGGTATTAGATATCTTTTATAATTATTTTTTTAATTATATCCTTACTTCATGTATTATTTTTTAAAATAGTACATTAAAATTTTAATTATTATTATTAAATTGTTGTGTAAGATATTTAATGAGATTATAATTAAAAGGATATAATTTTTGAAAAAAATTCAAATTTTAACTAATATTTTTTGAGAATTTTAATTTTTTTTGATAAACTAAGAATCTTAAATTAGTTAGGTATGTTTTAATATTTTGATACAGAGAAAGTAAGTCCTAAGACTTTTTTAACACACATCTATGGACAACATGTTTTGGAGTTTGAGGCCCAAAAAACAAGAGATCAAGAAATGTAAAACTTCACGAGTTCAAAAAAATAAAAACTATGAGCCTTTTAAAAACTGTTAATTATAATAATTAATTTTATTTGACCAGTATCACTCAATTAAACATCTCTTTGGCGGCCGATTCCCCTCAGGGGAAGGAGGGAAGTGGGGACTCTCAATTTCTTTTCTTTCCATTTCTCTTCACTTCCCCCATTCCCACCATTCAAATTTTTTTATTAAATAATTTTTTTAAATGATAAAATTAAGGAATAGTGGGGATGGGAAAAGTGGAGGGAAAGGGAGAAGAAAAAATGGAGACACCCCTGGCCTGGGAAAGGAAGGCTCAACATTGATACCATTTCCCCCTCCTTTTACTCTAATTCAAAAAACATCGCAACGCTTTTCAATCATTTTGTTGAAGTGCTCATTAAATATGATTGTCAAATATATTTTTTATTATTTTTTTTGATACCATGCATGATAACAAGGAAAATATTCTTAAAAAAAATATAAGAAAGGATGGAAAAGACAAGAAGAAAAGAAAATCATACTTCTTTTATTTAAAAATATAAAGTATTTTTTAAAAAGTTAAATATTTAAAAATATAAGACATTTTAAATTTTTTAAAGTATAATCATTATTTTTTTAAAAAAATATAATAGTAACTTCATATTTATTATAAAATGTTTAATAGGAATAAATATGAAAAGAATGGTTAGTTTAAAAGTACATAATCACTTTATTAAAGAGTAAAATTTAATTAAAAATATTATATATTTTTTAATAGAAGGAGTATTTAGCTAGCTCATACATTTAACATATAATTTTTATATATTATTTATTGTATAATAAAATCCTGTTATTAATATTATTAAATTGACTTTGTTATTTGATATAAGGTTTAATATTTAAGACTTCTCTTTCCAAAAAAAAATCCATTTTTTGGCCAAAAAAAAATGTTAAAAACAAGTATAAAGATACTGCATTTGCAAAGGGGACCATATCTCGATTTCGGCCTCTGGGCCCCTTTAGTTAAAAAAACCATTGATTTAATATTTGAATAAAACTCCAAATTGCTTTCAAGTTTCAAGTTTCAAGTTTCAACGTCATGGCAATATTTTGGCCCAAAAAAAAAAAAAAACGTTATGACAATATAAAACTAACAGTTATACTAATAATAACTAGTATTTTATTTTACTATTTTAAAAAAATAAAAAAGAAGGAATCATCGGATTGGCTGCGGAAATGCTAGATAGGACTTTGAGACAGCCCTTTGCGCGTTTGAGAAATTTCCGGTTCACAGACGCAGTCTTCCGCCAAGTTACGAATTACAACGTCTTAATTATGTTCACAACTCATTCTTCCAAAGCTTTCTTCCGATTACTTCCTGGAAAAGAACATTTAACTCTTCTTTCTTCTTTCAACTGCTTTTCGTGGATCTGATTAGAAGCATAGTCCCATTTTTCCTGTTTTCTTAGTGGCAGCTTCCATTTCTATTTGCATCTGCTGTAGTGCTGGGCCTATTGTTAGATAATTTTAGGAAGTCTACGATTCTGCTAGTTGAAGTCCTATTGAGCTATTTTTTTCATTGCTTTTTGTTGAGCTTTTGATTGACAGTGATCTGATTTACATTTTGAGAGGGAAAAGTAGAGGGGCTGCTTTTGTCCTAGGATTCTGATTACGGTGGTCGCTTCGGCGACAAGAATACAAAGTATTGGTGGTAGATAACGAAGAACTAAAATTTTTGTGTTTTTGGCGGATGAAGGGGTTTATAGGGGGTTAAGTCATTGATGAAATGAGAAGTATATCAAGCCCTTGGAATGGCAATTCGACAATTCATAAGTGCTGTACCTGTCAGCTTATGCGTTCTTTTGTTTCTTCTTCTTACATCGGCGGGTAACTTGAAAGAAAGGGAAGAAATACGAACAGACATTACTAGCCAGCTGCTCGATCCGTCATCTGGATTGTTAGATGACAACGCGGTAAGATTTGATTTACTGGTGATATGTGTTCTGGTTGCTAACGAGTATACGTTCAACCTTCTCTTCTCCCGCTAAAAAAAGTAAATACAAGATACAAACTTCAAAAATTGTGATGTTTTGAGAGACTTCTTTGTAAAATCAACTGTTGCTAGGAACGGAATGAATTGTTGCATCTTCTTTCCTAAACCACTCCTGAATCAGCAGAACATTGGCCCCTCTTGCTTTTCACGAGAGACATGTTCACCTATAACTCCCTTGCGCCTACCGCCTCCCTCCCCTGCATCTTCTTGGAATTTGTTGGGGAATTACTAATTTTTTGAACTTTGGTGCAAATTTTGTGCTTCTTATCCTGATTGCGTTAGCATGTCATGGCCTTCACCTGACAATCCCGTTCTGTCAAGCTCAAAACCTGCTTCATCCTCAATAATGGCCAGGGGTGATGTTTAGTTTATTTGACAGTAGGCATCCGCCATGAATGTCTGAAACCAAGTGCCTTAAGGAACACCAGAGGCCTTACAATTGCAAAGTTTTTATGTGATACGGTTTTATTTTTTTTTTAACAGAAATGTGATACGATTGAATAAATACTTTTTGTTTGAATAATACTGCATCAGATAAAAACAATATCAAAAAAGAGTACAACACATTAACTAGGTCCTAGGGGTTCCTTTCATCATTCACCTCCTCTGGGAAAAGAGGTGGGGAATGATGATAAATACTTTTAGTGATAAGAAATATTATAAAATACAAGATTGCATTTATCTTCTAATTTACCAGATTCTGTTCTTGAAAGGCTACCTTTCACAAGATTTGCATGAGCTTATATTTGTAGTGGCATTTTTTTTTTTAATTTTCATGTATTATCGCTTATTTCATGTGCTACTACTTTTGTCCAATATTGGACATGCTGAGTGGCATTATGTGCTCCATTATTGGTAAAAGGGATGGGTAGGCTCTAAAACCGGTTACCGTGGCTGCAGGCAGAACATTTATGGTCCTCTTGCCGGGGGGATTTGATTCAGTTAAAGGAAGAGGTAGCAGATTTTGTCTTATGGTTCCCGCAAGAATCATCTAGTAGCGCTGATGAAAATTCAGAAATCCGATATATGTTGAGACAAAACATCCAAAAATTGATTAGTGCTCACCATTCACAGTTAAAGCAAACTCTTCTTCATTGTTTGAGACAGAATAATCTACCATTCCTTGTCTCGGGAGAAGAGTCTGATTCTAAGGCATGGCATGCCTCGTTAATAAAATCAATGTTTTCCAGATCCAGTGTTCTCAGAAGAAATTTGGCTCAGGAATTTCCTCAGCACATATCAGTAGCACCTAGCCCAGGTCCTGCACTTATGTCACCAGCTCCCAGTTCAGCACCATCACCTGAGATGATCCCATCACCTTCCATCTCTCAAATTCCTAAATCTGGGAGTCCTTCTTCATCACCTGAACCTCCATTCTTTCGACAGCTGGAACCTCCAGCTGCTAGGGACACCAATGCAAAGCCATCTTCAGATGCTGATATACAGGCAGATAAGAAAAGTAACCATCAAAGAACAATTGTTCTTGCCGTAGTAATAACTGCTCTTGTGACATTTGTAATTGCAGCACTGCTATTTTTATGCTGCAGTAGGTTTTATAGGATTGGTCGAGGTAAGCAAAATGATGAGAGGCCCCTTCTCAGCTTGAGCATGAGCGACTACTCTGTTGGTACGTATATCACTATTATCTAAGATTTGGTGAATTTAATGTACAGGTCTTGATAAATTTGACTTTGATCATTCAGGATCTTCCCAATATAATTTTGGAAATTCAGTCAGAGAGGATAAACTTGGATTTCAGTCATCAAGTAATAACATGGCTGACCATAAAAAGCTATCATCTGTGAATGCCAATACTCATGTTAGCTCCAATATTTTCCATACCACAGTGCAGGAAGCTCAATCAATGGGAGCTGTCAGTGTTGCTTCTGGATCATCAATTGAACTGAAACCCCCTCCTGGGAGGGAGGGAACCACTGCTTCTGGATTTCCTCCTCTAAAACCTCCTCCTGGGAGGGTGGGAACCACCACTTCTGGATTGCCTCCCCTAAAACCTCCTCCTGGCAGGCTGAACCCTCTTCCCCCTGAACCACCTTTTAGACCTGATAATGCTGCTTCTCATCCTCCTCCACCTCCTGCACCTCCACAGCCTGTGAAATCTTACTCTGATGGTGGTGGTGTTCCAACTCCAGGACCACCTCCACCTCCTGCACCCCCACAACCTGTGAAGCATCATTCTAATGTTGGTGGAGCTCCACCTCCTGGACCTCCGCCGCCGCCGCCTGGTACTCGAGCAGGTGTTCATCCACCACCAACTCCTCCTCCTCCAAAGGGTGGTATAGCTCCTCCACGACCTCCTCCACCTATTGGTCCAAAGATAGCACAGCTAAAATCTCCACAGAATGCAGGAGCTGGTTCAGGAGGTGAAGCCCATGCTCCTAAGGCCAAGCTAAAGCCGTTTTTCTGGGATAAGGTCCAAGCCAACTCAGATCATTCAATGGTCTGGAATCAGATTAAATCAGGATCATTCCAGTAAGGAATAATTGTCCATCTGATTTTCTTGCCAATAAATTAAAACTTATTAGCTGATGGCTTTCATTATGATAAATATTTAAACAGGTTTAATGAAGAGATGATAGAGACTCTTTTTGGCTATAATAATGTGGATAAACACAAAGGCGAACCAAAGAAAGAGTCATCATCCCAAGACCCTGCAACTCAGTATATCCAGATAATTGACAGGAAAAAAGCACAAAATTTGTTGATTTTGCTGCGAGCCTTGAACATGACAACAGAAGAAGTTTGTGATGCACTTCATGAGGGTGATTATCTTTTAACTTTTTTTTTTCCCTCAAGTATTCCTAATAATATTAAATATTATGAACAGTAGCATCAGGTTCTTTGCTGGGGAATCATGCATGGGCAATCTTCAGAACTTGTGTTAGAATTTGAGTGCCAGGGATCACAAAATTAAGTATATATATGCATCAATAGATGCTTAAGATACTGTATTCCTGCATTCACTGGGTTGCACTGGCATGCTGCTATCAATTGGGTTCTCTGAAACTAGCTTCACCATCTTTGTAGATGGGGAGGATAGGCTATGATGGTATCGTTGCCAGGTTCTGAGTATTATTCTATTAAGAGCATCTCAAAAAAAAAAAATGTTAAACGCAAATTAATTTGTGCGTTTAGATGAAAAGACCTTTTGATGAAAGCTGAACCAGTATTTTATATGTAGGATCGAGTGGATCTATGTTCCTTATTACTGTGAAATTGGTATCAATATCCCTGCATTCAAGCGAGAACATGCATTTATGATGCGCTTGATTGAATCTGCTTTGCCATGAGATGTGGATTGGATACCATTTAATGGAAATGAAATGATAGTTGAAGTGAATAACGCATGATAAAATTGAAAGCATGAAGGGACTAAAGCTGTCTGGACTCTGGAGCACGTAGGGATAGAGCATGCATGGAGAAGCTAGACTCTGTATCTGTTAAGTAATATTCAATATATATAGATCACCTCTTAGACGTTGACCATGACCTCAAACGTGCCATTAACATTTGCAGTCATTTTTTAGCAGTGTAATTTCTGTGTGCTGGCCTCCTATAGTTCTATATCTCATTGAGATCAATATTCTGGACAGTTGCATTTAAGATATTCTGAGTTTTAAATCATTAGAACGTTATCTATCGGGACTAGCATGAAAGTTTTAAAACTGCCTTTGGTTGATCAGGAAATGAGCTTCCCTCAGAATTTCTGCAAACCTTGTTGAAGATGGCACCAACATCCGAGGAAGAACTTAAGCTTAGACTTTTCAGTGGTGAAACATCTCAGCTTGGGCCTGCAGACCGATTCATAAAAGCTTTGGTTGACATTCCATTTGCTTTTAAACGAATGGAAGCATTGCTTTTCATGAGTACTTTTCAAGAGGATCTCACTTCTACCAAGGAGTCCTTCGCAACTTTAGAGGTAAGATCTTTTGATTGCATCACTCTTACCTTACATGGGCCTGTACTTGTGCACTTTATGACAGAGCTAATGCCAAATAAGTTCATGACAAAACGAGTTGAGTATGCTTAACATGGCACCCTGAGAATCTGAGAATATTCCAATATAAATATGATTATGCTTAAATTTACAGCCTAATGATGCTTTATTAGCATGCAGACAAAACGAAATCTGGATTAATGGGACACCATCCAAACTTCATATAGAATCTTTAAGCTGCTATTTTTTTATTTGGGACGCACAATTTTAGATGAACTGGACTCTCTTTTTCTTCTAGTAGTTTTTTTTATATATTTTGAAATGCGGTTGTAGTACAGACCTATTTATCAACTTCTGAGTAAGATGAGATTTTATTGTAATCCATTCATTGATTTTATACATGTCAGTTATGTCTGACCCATATATACACGTGCGTGCGCACATATAAAGGACATGTTTAGTCAGAGTGGTGTATTGTGAGATAAGAGGAGTCATTAACCTGGACTGGATCAAAATTGACAGTTATTGGTCAAGACTCAAGATTAATGCAAAACCATTAAATCACTCATCTCAGCAAATGTGTACCTCTTTGGAGTTTGTCAATTATGCTTTGTAATTGACATACTTTTAGTTCTATCATTTTGGAACTTCACTCGACATCCCAGTGACCTTGCACTTGCATCTGATATGCTAGGTTGCATGTGAGGAGCTAAGAAGCAGTCGGCTGTTCCTTAAGCTTCTAGAAGCTGTTCTTAAAACTGGAAACCGTATGAATGATGGGACATATCGTGGTGGTGCGCAAGCATTCAAACTTGATACGCTACTGAAATTGTCTGATGTAAAAGGAACAGATGGCAAGACCACGCTCTTACACTTCGTAGTCCAAGAGATAGTCCGCTCTGAGGGCAAAAGAGCTGCTCGACTGGAAAAAGAAATCCAGAGTTCCTCTGACATCAAAACAGATGGCCGTCTTGAGGATGTAACTGATCAAACGGAGGAACACTATCATGATCTTGGTCTCCAAGTGGTTTCACATTTGAGCAGTGAACTAGAAAATGTTAAGAAAGCAGCAACTATTGATGCTGACAGCTTAACGGGAACTGCTGCAAAACTCGGCCATGGTCTTCTTAAAATAAGAAACTTTTTGAACACTGACTTGGAGAGCATAAAGGAAGATAGAGAATTTTGTCAGGCAGTGAAGGCTTTTGTGCAGAATGCTGAGAATGATGTCACTAGTCTGCTAGAAGAGGAAAAGAAAATCATGGCTCTGGTGAAGAGCACTGGTGATTATTTTCACGGGAAAGCTGGGAAAGATGAAGGATTGCGGTTGTTCGTGATATTACGGGACTTCTTGATGATGTTAGATAAGGTGTGCAAGGAGGTGAAAGACGCCCAGAAGAAGCAACCAAAAGCTCAAAAACACGAGGCGCCTAAAGCATCGTCTTCCTCTGACGTTCGTCCACCCCCTGATTTTCGTCAGCTGCTATTTCCAGCAATTGCAGATAGACGCGTGAAAGACGATAGTTCAGACGATGAGAATCCGTAGAATGAACCTTCAAGTTGTATTGGAATTATTCTTTCGCCATATTTTTTGACATAATTGTATTGTTTAGATTCGTTTCTTCCATTGTTGGTTAAAGATAGATTAAGCATTGTTTACATTTGATAGTATATTGCCATCTTGAATATAATCAATCTATAATTACATCTCTTGCACCTGAGCACATGCATTTCAGATAGAAAGCGGGGGTACCTGTGTTAATTGGTTCAGAACAGAAAGAAATATGATAACTGCATATTTCGTGGCAGAACCCAGTTTCCCAGTATCGCGAACCCAAAAGAGAAATGAAGATTGTGGTAGAAATTATTTTTAAACTGTTGAGCTGCTGAAGGTGAAGAGGCTTTTTTTTTTTTTTTGGGAGGGGGGGTGGGGAGAATATTATACTTGGCCATCTCCTTGCTGGACCGAGTGCTGAGAGGACTTGAGCAAGAATATTCAATAAGAGGATTAAGTCATTCAAAATTCCGTCAAATTTAAGGAGTCAATGGAGCTATTTCTAGGAAGGCGCGGGTATATTTGATTGGAAGATTGAATCCTTATATAACGATGAACCATGAAGCATATCAGTATCGGTAGATCCAAAATCTTTTAACCCACATGTCGCGCGACAACGAAGTGTCTGGAAATTAATATGCTTCCATCGCAATTAAGCAATCACCCCAACCTTTCAACGCAAACGAAATTAATGAATGCAAGAAAACCCGGCGCATGTAATTGTAAAGCCCTTGTTTCATGATAACGACCCTTGCAATAAACAGAACAGGCTCGTTTTCACTTCAAAAAAAAAAAATATCACAAATACTCGGGAGGAAATGAGAAATTGGTCCTCACATGATTAACGCAATAGCTTACGATTATGATGTTGCAAATGTCATCACGAAGCAGACAGCAAGGCTATAAGAAATCGAAGAAATAATAAACTGGATTCTTAGTAAAGCGAAAGAACACTATATTCACATCACTAACTGAACTTTTGCTGCAACTACATCGAATCCCAAAAGAACAGAGTCAAGCTATATTTGAAAGTACAAGTTATGAAGGGGGAAATAGACTAAATTGGAAAAGTTGCCGTGAAAAACTTAAAAAATAAAAATACATCTCTCGCTCAAATTTAAGAGTCGTCGTCACCACCAGCGCCCTTCGAAGAGGTACCGGTCTTTTTAGGAAGTAGTAAGTTGTGAATGTTAGGCATAACACCGCCATTAGCGATGGTCACATCCCCCAAAAGCTTGCTAAGCTCTTCGTCGTTCCTAACCGCCAATTGAATGTGTCGAGGTACGATACGAGTTTTCTTGTTATCTCTTGCAGCGTTTCCAGCCAACTCAAGAACCTGAAAATTCATGTTTTGGAACGTTGAGAACGTGATTAAGTACAATTAATCCAAATCAAAATAGGTGGTGAAATTGGCGGAAGCCTTGCTAGGAAACTAAATCAAATTTGACCAATTCGAAAAACCCTAGATTTACTTATAAGCAACCATACAAAAAATAAACAATAATCAACCGTGCACAATGTAAATTACCTCAGCGGCGAGATATTCTAGAACGGCAGCCAGATAGACGGGGGCTCCAGCACCAACACGCTCCGCATACTTCCCGGCCTTCAAAAACCGAGCAATACGACCAACTGGGAATTGCAGACCCGCTTTACTACTACGGGACGTAGCCTTCTTGGCAGCGCCGGATCCTAAAGTTTTCCCTCGACCTGCCATCGATTGAATATTACAGTTCTGAGGAATTGAAGGGGACGAAGAAGCCGAGGGATGACAGATTGCCCGGTGCAAAAGAGAAAGGGGCAAACAGACGAAGTAGGATCTACGCATGATTTCAAGGCGCTCGGAAGATTTTATATATATAGCGAGTTAAATTTAGAGTAGACCAATGAGATTCGAGTACGCGGATCGAGCTTACTAACTGTCAGATTGATAGGAGATGAACGGTGAAGATGAGCTTGAGTTTTTCGGCTGGCGTGAGGAAAAGGTGGGAACAGACTGATTTTCAATTTATCCAAAATTTATCTGATAAAAGTTAATTTTATGAAAAATAATTGTTAAATGAAATTTATATTTAAATATATTTTTTAAAATTCAGTTTAATACAATAAAATTTATTTAATTTATAATAATAAAATATGCTTTTAAATATACAATTATTGAAAAGAACATTAATTTATGATGATTTATAATTTTTTTATATAAAAATATATTTAAAAATTATGATAAAGATTTTAAATAATATAAATTTTGATTTATAATGCTAAAAATTTGATCTCTAGTTATTTATATTTTTTTAATTTTTAATTTTAAAAATGTGATAAAGATTTGTAATATTTATTATACACTAATGCTAAAAATTAACATAATTAATAATTCAATTTATAATACTAAAAAATTGATACCTAATTATTATTATTAAAATAATAATTATATTATTAATGAATTAATTATTTTTTAAATAAAAGAATAAGAAATTAAATTTGTAATAATATGGTCAAATAACATTTTACTTTTTAAATTCACTTTTCAAAAGTTTTAAATAGTTACATTTTAGAATTTTACTTTCAACTACTATTTGAATGTATTTTCAGGATGTGCTTTCCTGTAAAATATTTTACTCAAACAACTTCCAACTTCCTCAAAATTAAATTTTGCTTTCTAGATATGAAATTGAAGAAACCCAAACGGGCCCATAAACTATCCTTCTGTGACTAGTGAATTGACAAAAAAGCCATTACTGTCTTTGTAATTTATCCTATTTTTCTTTTTTTAAGGCAAGCCCGATTTGGTACAAATGATTTAAAAGATGGAACTGGAACTAGGACAAGATAATACCAAGTTTTTATGTTTAATAATAGGATTGAAAATTTTAATCTCAATTCCAACCTCATTTATGTGAAATTGGTCAAAGCAACCCCTGGTGGTATTGCAAAGATAATTCCGAGATTGACTTTTCAAAACCAAAATAACAGTGATTATTGCTTCGAAGATCGATCTTTAGTTCAGTCCATCTTCTTCTTTTGGTAGCATCAGCAACCTCCTCGTCTTTCAAAGTACATCTTTATCTTCTCTAGACCTAGGGAGCTTGATAATGACCCCTCTCCTCCTTGGTCCAAATCTGGGGAGCTTGATTTCTATCCGTTTCTGTCATTAGTCTAATTTTGACGAGCTCAGTGGTAACGAAGGTACTCTAAGGTATAAGTGGTCGAGGAGTGAGGAGGACAAGTCTAAAAGGTCAAGTGTTTGGTTTCGTTATATATATCCAAAGGTTAATCATCATCCTTCTCATCATTAAAATTTATTTCTCTCTATTGCATTTATTTTGTAAGTTCAGGTGCATGATTTAAACCTCATTTAGATTTCAATTGGATATAATTAATCATACAAATAATTAATTAATATGATTGATTTTAATTATAATTGATTGTGTTATAACGTACTCCCTCCGTACGTATATAAGAGAAGTCTTCTAGAATCGTTTTCTGTCCTTAAATATAAAAAGTTATTAGCATATTTTTTAATAAATGGATCATTATACCCTTATTAAATTGAAAAGAGAAAAAGATAAATATTCTCATTAATTTACTTTGAAAAAAAAGATTCATTCTTTGTTTATAATAATTAAGAGCAAAATTAAAATGTTGCTATGCTTTTAATTAGATAATTAATTTTTTATTAATTTACATGATTTGATTAAAAACATCTTATATATAGAGACGAAGGGAGTAATCTGTTTGGATATTATTTTTTTAAAATTAATTTTAACATAATTAAAAATGTTTGGCTAATTTAGTCAGAATTAATTTTAACTATGCAAATTATCATAAAAAATATTTTTTCTAAAATTAAATTATTGATAAATTTGTATCTAATATTTTTAAATTTGTTAAATTTTATTTAAGAAGTAAAGTATATTATTTAAATTATATATCTAATTAATTATAAAAATTTAAATTATATTAATATTAATATTAACATTTTAATTTATGTAAATAAATAACTCAATATATTTTAGTTCAAATAAATTTAATAAAAGAGAAAAAATTAATTGTTAAATACCAAACATTAATTTTACAATAACTAATGAAGATGATAATATATAAGTTAATTTCTAATGACATCACGGATATGAGTGATATTTAATAAAAATGTTATGGATAATGATAAGGATAAATATTCATCAATGTAATGATCTTTCTCATATGCTATTTGATATTCCCTTTTATGAAGCACAAAATCAGAATCAGATAGGTGAAAGACTTTGATAAATAATTAATATTCTAATAGTATAATTGAATCCTTAAGCTGCCACCCACAATTATTTGAATAATCAATTAATGGCTCGATAATCAATTAGCACAAAGTTTTGGTGTTTGGGTAATTTTCATTTCAATGGTGACTTTACCTTCAAAATTGATCAATTTTCTTATCCAAATAGACAGTTGATTATTCACGATTGATGTAGCAATAAGAGCAGTGGCGAAAGGAGGAGGACCATTAGGGGCTGTGGCCCCTTCAATTGTTTAAAATTTTCTTTATATTATATAAGTGTTACTTGCTTCCTGCCCTTCTAAAATTTATGAAAACTTTATGGTATATATGTTTTTTAATATCAACCCCCTTACTTTTAAATTTCGGCTCCGCCCCTGAGTAGGAGAGAGGATGGTGAAGAAGAAAATGATGGCAATGTCATGTTTTACTTGTTCTTTTTTATTGAGTTGTGTTGTTTTTAATCTCATGATATATCAAATATAATTCTAAAAGTTGTTTTCATTTCTAATCTCATATCCAATTTATGAACATCATATTTTATCTAGGTATTTTTTAAATTTAATAATAATAGTTAAAAAATATAAAAAATACAAAAATGAAATTTAATCCTTTTTAGGATTATATTTTTAAAAAAATTAACAAAAATAAAAAAATCTTGCTCAAATTTGTTTAAAAATCTCTCCCAAATTATTCCAACCATTCAAAAATATTGGGAATCAATTTTTTTAGACTTAACTATTTTTAAATTTCTCTCCTTAAATCTTTTATTTTCCATTTAAAAAATATATGTTTTAAAATTAGACTTTTCTTTCTCTCTCTCAATCTAATTAATAAAAAAGTCATTAAAGAATGGCTAAAAAAAAGAAACAGATATATGCAGCATCACAACACACGAAACACACATACACACACACGTACTTTCGGCCAGGCGCAAAAGAAGCAAGAAAAAATTAGAACAAATAGCCACACAACCACACATGCAAGACTGAAAGATTGGAGACCAGACACCAGACATGATAGAAAAAAAGGAAAGCAAAACACACAATAGCATGCACACACGAAAACGCACAGAGGAAAAACACGCAGAGAGAGATTAGAAACATGCATGCACAGTAAAACAGAGCAGAAGGAGAAGCAAGCAACCAACATTCGTACATACACTTTTGGCCAGCAGAAAAAGAAACAGAACAAGAAAACACAGCATGCACACAAGTGAAAGGATAACAAAGAGTAAAAGTAGAAAACTGAGAGAGGGAGCTGAGAATTGAGGCAAAGAAAGAGAGGAGGAAAACTGGAAAGGGGGAAGACAGAGAAACGGGAAAAATTGGAGAAGAGAGGCACTAAAAAAAAGAGAAACAAAAAACGAGAAGAGAGAGACAGAAAGGAAGACTGGAGACGAGAAACCGGATAGAGATAAAGAGCAAGAAAAACAGAGCATGGGAACAGACGAGGAAAAATGAGAGAGAAGATGAAAACGGAGAGGAGATCGAGGAGGACAACGCTCAAACCATATGAAAATAGTGAAGAAGGAGGTAGATCGAAGAGTTCAAGAATATGAGCAAGACAAGAATGAATTTTCTTTTGATGAGGATGCTCATGTTATTGGTGACTGTGTTAAGCACGTATTAAGGGAGCTACCTTCATCTCCAATTCTAGCATCATACTACACTACTTTGTTATACACTTAAAAAATTGATAGGAGGGAAGTTAAGATCAGCGCAATGAGCTCTGCTATACTGAAAACCTTTTCAGAGCCAAATCGACATTTATTATAGAGCCAGCATCTCTCTTTCCTTCCTCTCATTCTTCCGTCACTGACTGAGCACTCGGTTCTCCTCCGTGATATCTCGGCAGAACTCCAGCATTCTTTTTGGCTTAGTGCATCTAAAGGTTTGGAAAAGAGACTGAACTTTACCTCTTCTTCTTCACATTTTGAATTACTCTGTGGTCGATGGTGGTGTGCATGCATGTGCTCGATCTTCATCTCCTTTTCCTTTCTCAGTTACAGGCATGGCGGTGGTGTACGTAAAGTTGGTTCATTCCTTATTAATAGCTTCTATGAATTTTATATTTAAATGAATGATTCTTGAATGTATATTTTTTTATAGTAATATGCTAAACACAAATATCAATTTTTTAAACTTGAAGTAGGAGATTTTGAAAATTTTTATAGATATTTAAAATGATCTCATACTGTAAAAATTAATAAGATTTTGCAGGTATGAGGATCAATTTTGTAGGTATTTATATAGGTTCTAAAAACCCATTATTAAAATTAATTTTTTATTATTAATAAAATATTTGAGTCTTGTGAGAGATTTTAAGAATTTTCATGGAAAAATAAATTAAGTGCATTATCGTGTGAGATAATAAATTCTCGCAGAATTTCACAATTATTAATTTATATAGTAAATAAGATTTTTGTAAATAAAATTATAAATATTTTTAATAAAATTAATTAATCAAATTAAGGTATTCAATCTTTTGGTCATATGAAATTTTTTTTGAATATCTGTAGACCTTTAGAATAATTGCTTTATTGTATAA